AACATTGATAGAAGAGACGGTGCTTTCAACGACAATGTGAGGACAAATGAAATGAACCCCTACAAAGATTATCCTCTCACTATAAATGCTGTTAACATCTACGCAGAAGACCATAGTAATCACAAATACCAACCACACCAAAGCAACAAATACCCTTTAATTTCCAGCTCCTATGCCAACACAAAAATTCAGGGAACAGGTGCTGGAATCAATAGAAACCATCGTCCACATGCTACCAGTTCTACCCAGTCACCATTTTATTACACAATCAGACCTCAGCCTACTTTCTTAACTAGTACACCACAACCTCCACCTCAAGGTACCATTAAGTATAAAGACTTCCAGAACAATAATTCACCTCATCCTCTCACCAGTGAAGAAATAACTTATTATAAACCAAATACAGAAAAACATAATACTCAGTTACTTAACTCACAGGAAAACAGGAAGCAGGCTCAACAAGAAAATCACCAAGAAAAAATAATGGAAAAACAAGAGCAGAACCAGGATTATGAAAGCCATGATGGAAAGCAGCAGCAAACTGAACTTCACAAACAAGCACAACAAGACAAAGAACACACATTACAAACACCTGATCATTCATCCCCATCAGCCACTAATCCCAAAGTTCCTACTCAAATATTGCCAGTCAAATTGTCACAGCAGCCATTCAATTATGAAGAGATAAGTAATGAAGATTATGATACAGAAGCACCAACCACTTTCAGTTTAACAGAACTCTTTGGATATGGTGAACCCCACACAAAGGCTGAGGAAAAGAAATCTCAGCAAGAACAAAGGCAGCATGAAGAAAAAAACTCAATGAAAGGTGAACATAAAAAACCGCTTATATTTACATCACAACCTACCCATACTGCAACCACAAATAACCAGAGTATAATTTCTCAAGAATCAAACTCTGGAGTTCAGAACTATATAACTGATAAGATTCAAGAAAAATTGCATACCACACAGAAACCAGTCATAAATAAATCTTCAAGTACACAGCTTCTTGGTATTGTTTATAGTCAAGCTAGCACTGTGAAGCAAGAGAACACTGGTACTTCCAATCCACCGGACATACAATCTCCAAATAAGCGTCCTGAAAAATATCAACCATCTCTTATCATACATTCAGATACTTATGACCAAGAAACATCTAAGACTGCACTTCCAAATTTAGCTTCTAACCCATCCAAGAATGTTAAGACCAATTTAGCCACATTACAAAGTGTCAATCAAAAGGAGAAACCAGGATATTCCATGGGATCAGGACAATTTGAAATCAATGCAGTGCAAAATAATCCATACGGATCATATGCAGAGGAGCCTTTTAGGCCAATTTTTGGACCTGGGCAAGTAGATAACAGACCTCCATTAAGCCAACCAGAACATTTGCCATTAATGGCAACTCAAAATAAAGACAGAAACACTAACAGCATGTCTGATAGAAACATAAGCCAAACAGAAACTGAAAATGTGGGTTCATCAAAAATTCCACATGAGACACCATCAAGATGGAATTATCCTTACAATGAAGGTACCTCCACATTCTTCCGGCTTCCCCCATCACATAATCAACAGCAGCAGAACATTGTCTCTGCAGAAAATCCGGCAAGAATTCCTGGATTTGAGACACAAAGGCCTCATTCAGAGAATCTGTCATTTATTAATGTTCATTCTCAACAACACAAACCAACATATATTTCAGAGACATCTGTTTCTGTTGGAAGTTTTGCCCCAAATCACAGCAGAGTACAGAGCAACGATCTTCAAAAACATTCAGTTTCACAAATGCAAGGAGTCTTCAAACCTGAATGGACAGACAGCAACGCTAACAGGAAAGGTGATGAAGGATATGTTGTTTTTCCAGACAGCAACTCAGAAGAACCAAGGCCACAAGATGAGACCCTTAAAAGGCTGTCAATAGCAGTAGCAGTATCGACAGATATAAAATCAATTGCAAATGAAGAAGACAATTATCAACCGTTACCACCTCAGTCTCAACTTCACCAAGAAGAGAAAGGGTCTTCTGAAATTCCACACATATCCAGCCAACAGGAGTTTCCACATTCTGTTCATCGACCAACAAACCAAAATGGACCTCCAATTCCACACAGGAAAACTGTGAAGGAACCAGCACAAGAACTGCAACCTCCAGCAGAACCAGAAAATTTGAGAAAACAATCAGTTTCAGGAAGTTATCCACGCCCTCAGTGGGAGTCACGTCCAACAATACAACACCAGTATTTTCCCCAACTTGATCCCTCTCAAACTGCAAGGCCAAAGCATGATGTTATTCCACCACATTTTGGACAAAATTCTCCTACTTTTGGTACAGGGTATCGCATTCGCCCAGGTTTCTCATCCGAGCATCCTTTCCAAGGAAACCAGGGTCCACCAATTACAAAGAATCGTAATCATGATCCAAACCTTCCAAATATCCTCCCACAGTTCAGACCAAATGCCAGGATAGCCCATGTTCACCCAGAAAATGAAGGTCGGATACAAAGTTACATACATTTTGGTCCACAGCGACAGCCTTTACTTGAAAGGCCTGGTAGACGCCCTTCTCCAGAGTTCATGGGACATTTGCATCCACCTCCACCACCTAATCATAAAAGAGTGAATCGCAATGATAATCCTGGACCACTGGATGGACTAAATAAGGCTGAGGAAATAGTTCCGTTTGGGAAGTATCCTCCACAGTCACCAACCATTGCTCAACGACCTCTAGCTCATCGAATAACTGGCCCTCATATTACAAATGTGGGTGTATCTCAACCCCAGGTTGCAACATTACAAATGATGCAACACCAGCAGATAGGAGCTGGCACACGTTTTCTTCCTAGACCACATGCAGCTAGGGATGATTTTCCTGATTCTAACAATCAGATCAAACCACCCTTTGAAGTGAAATATCCTTTAGGATCAGTATTAGATTCAGAAGCCTCTGAGAAGCAACCTGTATTTGTGGTATACCCAGTGAATTCAACTCCTCTGAATACTGGGAGTGAGAGTTCAAATAATGGTGGCGTTGTGGTAGGCTCTCATGGTCCTCAGCGTCCATTACCACCTTCAAATTTTGACTCAGGCTTATCGTTATCATCAGAAGATGGTGGTTCATCAACACTACCATTTCCAGGACACAAGAATCAAAAGCCAGTGCTTCAGCTTCCCACAGACAGATTTGATTCATTTCAACTTCAATCACAAAATCCAAATTCAGCAACACAAAGTATTAATGTCGAGCAGCCCATAAAATCTGACTTCCCATATCCATTGGAAAGACCAGATGCTTTCACAGACATAGTAGAAGGTGAGATAAAAGAGGAAAGTGAAAGACATAAAGAAATGATGTCAATCTTGGCGGCTGGTGCTCCTAGCAACAATGATAAGTATGATAGTGAAATTCCACTTACAAGTAATGGAATTCAAGCAAAAAACCCCAAGGGCAATAATGACAGGCATAATGATGATGACACAGAAATTAATATAATCCCATATCTTCAAGACTACATGCCATTTGCAACTAAGAAACCAATCATATCAACTAAACCTTCACCTGAAATGAACTTGACTACTCTCGCTTCCATCAGTGCTCCACTTGTACCTTCTACAAGCTCCATCAGACCAGAAAATGTGTTTCATGGCAACCAATGGGCTACCATTAGTGATGGACACCAGATACAAGATGCAAGAATAGTGAATACTGAAGGTTCAGAAAATGAAGTTCATGGTTCCACATCTTCAACATCAAAATCACATTACTCACCACCAATATCAGTTGTTCTTAAAACAGTTCGGCCACAATCCAGTACTACACATTCTCCTGTTTCACAGCCCACATTGTCTGTCACTAGCTATCCAAAAGCTTCCCCACTATCTGCGACTAGTGCCAATGTGTATGGCGGGTCACCACAGCCAGCACATCAGCAGGGACTTGTTGGTTCTGCAGGATCAGAATTCACGGTATCAGCTGTTATGCACACACATCCCCAAGCACCTAACAACCATAGGCCTGCGGAGTTATTTTCATCAACTTCACCTCCCCAGCTAAACTTTCAAGCTCCTTTTCTTGCAAGTGCCAATATAGAAGCAGCACCAACAAATCAAGGATGGAGTGTAGTTGGAAGTGAAGGAACCAGCAATGGAAGAATGAAACCTGGAACTGTTGACAAGGCTGATCTTCATGGGGAAGAATTGGAATCTTCTGAAATAAATACTACTACTGACAATCAAAGTAGTGAACCAAGCAATTTTGACTTTGAAAACTTTCGACCACAGTTATTTGGTGGATTTAAACCTATATATACATTTCCTGAAGATAGTGGGGAGGAGCATTCCAAATATCTTCAAACTACTGAACGCCAAGAGAAGATGATTTCATGAGGCTGACTATTGAAAGAAATTACAACTCACAGATTAGAACCAACCTATTCATATTACATACTCGTACATATATTAAGTTGGTGCTAGTTGCATGACATCACAGTCTCACAGAGATAAAACATCATCTTTCATATTACGTTAACCTTTCAGCAGAAAAGGCAACACCAACAACAATGATAATAAAGAACAATAGAGAGCCACTGGGCTAGAAGGTACAGTAGAACACAACATCAGAACCACCCATCTCATTAAAACTTCTCATTTTTCTTGCCATGTAACTAAATTCGTTGTGTGCTTTCAAGAACAATATGGGATCACTGTTAGGATGTCTTCTGTGACAACCCAATGAAATACTCAATTTCAAAAACAAGTTTCATTATTAAGGAAACTTCTTGTTAAATATTTTTGTTGTAAAAAATTCCTTATCCTCTTTCTGTTCAAATTATAGTATATAATTACAGCGTTGGAATTAAAAAAAATCATAACCTACACAAAAAATAATTAAAAAGCGTTACATTTATTATAAATAGTAATCATTTGTAAGATAGGGTTGATTATATGAAGCGATCTGATCTTNTCACAAATACTTCACACGTTTCGATGTTCCATGAGGCTACTCCCTTGTTTCTCAGACAAGGTTAGAATGTTGAAACATAACAAGTATTTGACTACATACTGAGCACTGCAGCGCCATATTATTAAGCTTGTATATTTCCTTTGGGATGGTGATAGGGAAATATGGGCAACTGTAGAGACTTATATTTTGTTGAGAACAGGGATGTGGTACATTTTAATTTAAAATAATATGTGGAATAGATTAATTAGCCATACATATACAAGTTTATGACATGGAAATATGATAAATTAACAATAATTACCATTTATTGTGATATAATCCCATTGCACTAGCACAGAAGTCAAGTATAAAATAATCATTCATCATGTATGAGTATACCAGCATTCTTATAGAGCTTACAGAATGAGATAGCTTAGCTCCAGAACAAGTACGTTCAGACAGGGTCACAGACTTTTTTACTCAGCTAGGCATGCCCATGTCTTCCCCTGGAAAAGAATGACACATATTATACTTCATATTCATGCCTATTGCCATGTCAACATTACATCATGGTGCATGACACTGGACATTTTAAGACTTTTATGAGTTTAAATCCAGGTGTTTCCAAACTGTTTATTTGATAGATAACACAAAAAGACTGTCTTCAAATTCTAGTTTTATATACATCATGACTGAAGCTCAGTTAGTTCTGATATACCATATATACTACAAGTTATAGGCAAAATATGAGGTTAACTATACAGATGTAATCAAAGTTGAATTTCTCTATTGTGAATACGATATTCAATTAAAACCAAATACTGATAATTCTAGGTAAATGAGTTAAGATTGAGTGGAACTTATACTGGATTAATTTTATCATACTGTGTTACTAAATTTATCTTATATTGTGATGATAAATATTTGTATGTATGTTGTTAATTTATTAAGAAGTAGAGTGGTATTGTTAATGGAAGTAAATGTAACAGTCCATTTTGTGCTGATTCAGCTTTATAGCAACAACATATACTTTGTGTTTATGAATTATGCAAGATATTCTTACATGTGAGTCTCTATCACATCATATGTTATAATGAGCATTGTGAATTTCTTTCTCTTAAGTGTGTGTATTTAGTATGAATGTCTTATTTGAATAAAAGTAATCATAGCTCAATGCCTGAATATTATGTATGTTGACTGAAATTTACATCAGCAAGCAACCTTTTCTCTCCTTATTAATGTTTTCTACCTTGATCTGCAGATAACAAGCTGCACTATATTTCATCAGAAACAGGTTCATGAAACTGGCATTAAAACCAGTCCCATACTACTAGTACAGTACAAATGCACTGTTAACAAACTCTTTTACACTGTGCTGTTGCTTGCAGAAACTGCCTACAATGAATGATTTATGAAAAAGGACATCCGAAAATTTATGTTCTATTCATGTATGTAAACATCACTCATCTCTGTCATGCATAATAAAGAGAATTTTAACCAGTTCATGAGCATGGTTTGGTATGGACTGTTTCTTCATACTGGAATAATGCTTGCACTCTAAGCAGAAATAATTGGATTAGGAAGAAGATTGGGGGGGGGCATGCACGATATCTGAAATGACTGATTTTTTTATTGTTATTTCCATTGGTCAGTAATTTCTGAACACGGAAACAAATGAACTTACTGTACATAACTCAGACCAGCTGAAATGAGCATTTGTAGTTGGTGAATAAATGCTAGTACTGGTGGAATTCCTAGGAGGACCTTTAGAAATCACATGCCATCAGGAGTTACTGATAAAAAAATTAAATATGTTCAGTATTGATACTCTCAGGACAAAGAATTTTGTGGCAGAATTCATAGACCTGCAAAAATTAGTATAATTTTACAATGTAAATTTTTAAAAATGAGAATGTATTATTTCTAAACAAAAACAATAATATTCTTGCCAGTAAATGCAGTACTGTATATGAACGCAGTTTCATAATGCTATACACATACAGAGTACTTTTGCATTAAAGTGACCACTTGCCCTCGATTTTCGAGGACAGTCCTTGAGGTAAGACTTATGTATCATTACTGATTATGTCCCTGATTTGTTAAATAAATTAATGCAATCTGAAAAACAGGGAACTGTGATAGCTTGGTCAATATAGTGATGTGCTATATTGTAAGGTGCATGTGATTCATAGCTGCACTAAGACAGCTTTTGATTCCATGCATGTAGATATGGAAGTACTTGTTACAAAACCCTCTGGGTATTTTCACGTATACACGGTTCGTGCTGAACCCCTGAAAGATTTCTGTGACTTTACTGGACAACAGTATAAGTAAATACTGTCCATCTGTCTATGGCTGCACAGTCCTTTGTTGGGCCTTGGCCACTTTTTCATTTTCTTAATCTTTTACAAAGTTAGTAAGACTCCTTCGATGGGAGATCAGACTGTTGGAAGGTGGCTACCTGCATATAGAGCAGCATAAACACAGAATAAACATACACAGATATCCATGCCTCAAGTGGGATTCAAACCAATAATCCCAGTGTTTGAGTGGGCAAAGACAGTTCATGCCTCAGACCACATGGCCACTGCTATCGGCACAAGCAAATTAAGTAATGCAAATACAGTGGAACCTCGCTTAACGAGCATAATTCGTTCCAGAATCTTACTTGTAATGTGAAACAATTTTTCCCATATAAATTAATGTAAAATACGATAATGTGTTCCATTCATTCATTCATCTGTAATCTGTCAAGATGACAGGTCCACAGTCTCTTCCAAAACAGTTCCTCCACTTGATGCTATCTAGAGCTTTCTTCTTCAAATGAAAATATCCTGGTCTGTCCCCAAGGTCATCCAGCATCTTCTTACATCTTCTTCCTCGTCTTCTGGTCACTTCTATCTGCCCCTCTATCTTTCCTTCGATAACTTCTTTTAGAAGGCAGTTACTGCATAAGATATGACCAATCCAATTAGCCTTCCATTTTCTTATTTCGTGTAGGATATTCCTCCGCTCACTGACTCTAAATAACACTTCTTCATTTCTCACATAATAGGTCCATCTGATCTTCTCCATCCTTCTCCAACACCACATTTCGAAGCTTTCCAGGTGTTTCTGATCAACTGCCCTAAGTGTCCAAGTTTCAGCCCCATACAAAGCAATGCTCCAAATGTAGTATTTCACTAGTTTCTTTCTCAAATTTAAGTCCATGCTCCAAATGTAGTATTTCACTAGTTTCTTTCTCAAATTTAAGTCCAATTTGCTGGTAAAAAGATTCTTCTTCTTGCTAAATGCAGCTTTTGCCATGGCAATCCCAGATTTAATTTCACACGTACACCTTCCATCATCTGTTAACAAGCNCGCCAGAAGATTTTTGCTTTGCTGTTACCTCCTCCTCCTCCTCTAACAAACTCGCCTCCACAACTTCTTGCTGTGAAACACAATGCAACTCCAAATTGTGCAAATCGTTGATGTAGACTGATTGTATGTGTGTGCTAGATCAGCCACGCTCACACCTCATTCTCGCTTTTCAATGATTTTACGTTTCATTTCTACGGTTATTTTTATTCTTACGGCTGTTTTTTTTTATTTTTCTTTGGGGACATTTTTGCAAGGGTTATTAAACTTTGCACAAAAAAAGTTACAAATAATATGTCTGAACACAAGTTTGGAAAAATGTGTGATCACAAGTGACACTAATATGCTAGCGGAACGAGTGCTAAACACAGACTAATGTAGCAAGCGCACAATCCGGGACTTCCCCTCTCATCACTCGTTAAGTGAGTCATCTTTTTATGATTTGTTTTGCTCGTTATGCGAATTACTCGTTATGAGAGGTTCTCGTTAAGCGAGGTTCCACTGTATACGGTGGTTGTTATTACTTCTACCATTGGAAAGAATACTGAAAATTCATTTAAGTCTTTTTTATATTAGAACCACAGTGCCCAAAAATATTGAAACAATTCTTTGAAAACAATTAGAGTTGATACTAATCTTTGCTCAGTCTTAGGCTTCACTCTGTCATAAAACAACTGAAGTGGTTTAATAAAATGGTGAGTGTATGACAGCACTAGTTGTGAAAACTCCATTGCTGAAACTATAAACTCGACACAATGAACATATTATCCCACTCATGGTGATGAAGTTACTGATCTAGTATAAGATGATGAAATGAAAATGTAAAGATATAACAGAACATCAAAAGAATTTTATAACACTGCTTTATCTTATTTAGAGACATGGAACAAGCAAAGTGGGGATTTATCAAAATTGCGCTTCCTTCTTTTGGAACCTCAGAGTGTAAAACTTTTCTGCCACTCTCAACAAACTTTGTGATGAATATGCTTATTTACGTGGTTATCTATCGAAAAATTAAAGTGACTGATTCAGTTCCATTCACCCTTCTAAAGAATGGTCTAAAATATGTGTGCATTTGAAAGAAAATAATGTGCTGCATGGTATCAAGAAGGATGACGAACCTTTATTATGTTTGCCTGGCAGCATTGCATCCATTAAAAGAGTGTAGTTTTTATTCCGTATGAATTGCATCTTCTCTAAAGAGAAGTCTCGATTTTATGTGGTCACAATACAAGCCATTTCAGCAGTGAAAACGAATGCTCACTTGTCATGTTAAGCATTCAGTGAAAAACTTGTATCCAATCCTGGAGTACAAAAGAAGACACACTCTTCAAATTAATCAAGGTACTGTCAAAATAATTATGTCTTGCATATTACATTAATAGATTCAGTGTGTAGGCTAGTTTGTGACATGCAGTTTAGAGGAGGAAGGCCGAAATACAGAAAGTAATTGAGTGTGACAAGTGAGAACGGATAGACCCGTCTTGTCATCAGAAAGGATTCTTATTAAAGGCCAAACAGTGAAGCTACTTCAAGAATAAGAGCTGGTCAAGAGCGTCTGAATGGGCTCAAATTAAGAGAAACTGACTGGCCAACCGTCAGTCGTAAAATGACTTTGAAACGAAGCAAAAGCGGAATTTTGTACAGGTAGAAACGAAGCGGTGGGATATGTGGAAGACAAAGGCGATGGGTTGTCATAACCATGGCGGTCCTTTGGTAAGGCACTGGCGTATGAGATACGTGATTCAAAGACATGACTATTTTTGTGAAAAAAAAAATTAAGAAATTTGTGCATGTAGGAAGCAAGTCATATTATATGAGGAAGGTGAAGGTGTCTTGTCAATAGAAATTGAAAAATGAATAAGTAAATACGATTTTTCTGCAGCTATAAACCAAATGGCAAAATATGAGGAGGATCACAGAAGAAGTTAACATAGAAGTCCTGGTGGTCTAGAGGTAAGGCACCGGCGTTGTATAGGAAAGGTCTATGGTTCGAAACCCCAAGGTTATTTGTAATTAGATTTTTATGGAATTATATAGCGAGATGTAACATAACAGGAAGATTAAAGGTCAAAAATTTCAGTGGCATTGGTGGCCTACTGGTAAAATACCGGCATAGTAATACGAAGTTCCGAGGTTCGGAACGAAC